GAGCAGTTGCGTAAGTAGAACCGGACGCCCTGGGCTCCCTCTGGCGCGGCCACGTGGCCAGGAGCGCGTCAGGTTTGATAGCATCAGCTCGGACGCCCTGGGCCGGATGATGGACCCAGAATGAGGTCAGAGCTAGGGGAGGGGTGGGGCTGCAGAGCAGAGAGCGGCCGGAGAAAGGGGTCCCAGGCAGACGGTGCGAGACCGGGAGGGAGGTGAGCCCACCAAGGGTGTGGAAAGCACAAGGCGGCAAGTCCCCGCTTGTAAAATGTGAGGTGATTCATCCCCGTGTGCTTGTGAGCAGTAAACAGCTGGAGCTGCATGAGGTCACAGCCGTGCGTGGAACATGCCAGGTGCCCAGGGCATGCTTGTGGGCCAAGCAGCCGAAGCCAGGGCTGGTCACGCAGGAGGGGAGGGGAAAGGAGGGGAGAGGAGGGGAGGGGAGGGGAGGGGAGGGAAAGGGAGAGGAGAGCTCTGGTCACGCTGTCACTCTCAGGAGTCCTCGCTGTCAGCCGCGGTGGCTCACTGGCCATCAGTCCTGTTCAGGCGGGAATCGAACACAGTGCGTCCGGTGGGCCTCTCTATGGAGCCGGAGTCAGAGAGTCGCCCAGGGCCAGGGCTGTGATCAGGAGACCCCACAGCAGGGAGGGAGGGCACGGTCCCCGCCAGGGCGGCCGCTCCCCAGATGCTCTGTGTTCCCGGGGCCACCACAGGCCGAGCCTGCTTCCCCAGGGCCGCCCCGCACAGAGGCTGGGAGCACTGTGGACCGAGTTCGCAGTGTGAGGGATGCTGACGCCTGGTGATCTGAAAACGAAACCAGGAGATCTGGGAAACGGACACGCCGCTCCGTGTGGGGAACAATGGCAGTTGACGCCGTTGGCTTTCCCGCTCCTTCCCGGCTTCAGTGTTCAGGGTCCCCCCCACTCCCCTTGACAAAGAGCCACGCGGCCAAGTGTGGGCGGGGCCGGAGGCCGGCCGCTGAGGAAGCCTCATCTCGCCTTTCCTCTCACCTGCATTCTCGGCACCCCTTTCCTCGCTTCACCTCAGTAGCTTCTCCTTCCCAGCAGTCCCCGATGACGCGGAAATCCCTTCAAGGCAACTTCCCAGCTCCTGTCCCTTGACTTGTGGGTCTGCAGGGATAGAATTTGTCACTTCCAATTGGTTTCCTTTCTTTCCACCCACGTGGGGCAGGACATTTTATTAAAAGATGCATTTCCCCCCAAAAGCAACTCTTGTTTTAACGCCAGAGGTATGTAAATGCCCTCGCAGTGAAATGTACAGTCTAATTATGGAACTTAACGTAACGTTTAGGAAAGGAATAAAAAACCAGCAACAAACCGCCTCCCCACGCGGGAAATGGGGCGCTGACCTCCGCCTGCGTCCGAGGCCTCTCCCTGCCTCCCCTGCAGCGAGAAGGCCCCTCGCCGTCCCGGCTGTTGGCAGCAACGCCGAGTAGCAGAGATGCCAGGAGTGCCCGTGGCGCCATCAGAACGGAGTCGCCGTAGTGCCTGGCACTGCCAGGAGCTTCGATAGTTAAAGGGTCCGATTACCTTGCCCTCGCCGGTCCCCTCTGCAGGTAGCAGACGCGGATTTAGGCTGGGTTCCCCCTGTAAGGTTAGCCTTCACTGCTCTGCTCCACCAGGCAGACTTGGGGGATGGTCTCCACGTGCATTCACGGTGTTTTGGGGGAGACAGCGGGGATGTGGGCTGAGAGGCGGGGCTGGCGAGACCTCTGTACGTGTGTGGGTGAAGGGCTTGTGCCTCCTGCAGGCAGAGCCCCCACCACACGCAGCCTGACGCCTAAAGACGTGCGAAGTGTGGGAGTCGTGGGGCCGACGTGGTGCCTTCCTGCCAGTGTCCCTGACATTTTGTGAAGTGTCAGCAGAGATGATCGTGCTGAAAGGACTGTATTTGGTGGCTTCATCTCTCCAACCTTTAAGCTCCAAGTTACAAACCCACACACACTGACAACCCTTCGATCCACAGTTCACGGAGCTGACAGGCCCTGTACTTTCATTTCTTGGTTGAAAACGTGAGAATCTCAATAACTTGAGCAGCTTTCTGAAGGTCATGGAGCTAAATGATTACCTGGACGTCAGGTGGATAGGTCGGTAAATAGATATAGATTGATAGATAGATGATAGGTAAAAGATAAGAGATAGAATAGTGTGTGTGTAAGTTAGTGTGAGTGTGTGAGTACGTGTGTGTGTGTGAGTGTGTGTGTGTGTGTGTGAGAGTATGTGTGAGTGTGTGTGTGTGTGAGTGTGTGTGTGAGTGTGTGTGTGTGTGTGTCAGTGTGTGTGTGTTTGTGTGTAGACAACAATTACATGCATATTCGACACCAGCGGGAATTACACTACAGCATTCTTTTCAGGGGGCAGCTCACTGAAGTTCAGTGTCATTTTGACCAGTGGGGGGCATTCCTGAAGGCGTTTATTCTCACACCCGAAGCCTTGTTTCTTAGAAATCGCTGGTTCTCTGGGGTAAGACGTGAGTGGCTTGGTGCACGGAGCACAGAGCGGCGGATCTTTTCTGCGAGTCCCTCGCTCTGGCCAGGTACCAGCCGTGTCACCGTGACCTGTCCCCTGGCACCCACCTCCCACTTTCCCGTCTCTGGCAGCACCTTGTTCTCCTGTCCTCGGAAAGTTGCCGGTGTCGCGCGTGGCCTCTGTTCTTGTGCCCTGTGCTCCTGTACGGCGACGTTGGGTGCGGAGAATGAAGCGAGCTCGAGGCCACAGGGTGGATTCTCTCCACCAGCGCAGGCGCAGGCCGGGCCTGCTGCTTTTCTTGTTTGGCAGGTGGGAGGTCCTGGTCCCCCGATGCTGGGAGGTGGTGGTGTGGTGATCGAGCAGAGGTTCCCTAGTCAGAACCTTTCAGGACTCGCACGGTGGTGAGGGCTCTTTAGATGCTTGGGGGGCTCTGATGGACAAAGACAAGGTTTCTGCCCCCAGGGGACTAGCTCTGGGGGTGGGGAGGAGACTGGGGACCGTGCCCAGCCATAAGTGCCAAGTGTTTAATGAGAAGTTCAGTTAACAAGAACCTCAAAAGAGCAGAACCTCACAGTGGAAAACCTACTCAAAATGCAAGGACTCCAGGGAGAGCAAAAGACTACCAAATATTCTAGGCTCTCTGAGCCCTCTGATTTTAGGCCTCATCTTCTGGGCCAGCTCATCTATCCCTCATCCATTCATCCATCCATTCATCCATCTACCTACCTATCTATCCATCCATTTATTCATCCATCCATCCCTCATCCATCCATCCCTCATCCGGGCCATCCATCCATCCATCCATCATCCATTCATCCATCTACCTACCTATCTATCCATCCATTTATTCATCCATCCATCCATCCATCCATCCATCCATCCATCATCCATCCATCCCTCATCCATCCATCCATCCATCATCCATCCATCCCTCATCCATCCATCCATCCATCCCTCCATCCATCCATCCATCCATCCATCCATCCCACCATCCATCCATTCACCCATTTGTTAATCCCTGTGACTAACGCCTAGAGAGCACATGCGATCTATCAGATGCTGACTTGGCCTGGCGGGCACGAGGGTGAGTCAGCAGACAGGACCATTTGGGAACAGTCTAGGGGGCTTCCCTGTCTTTGAACCCACCTCCAACTGTGCTCAGCACAGACAGAGCCTGGCCACTCGCATCCCTGGCCCTCCCCCCTCATCGGCTCCCAGCACGAAGGCTGGATCTGGAGCTGTGCTGAGCCAAGTCTGAGCTTCCTCTTGAAGAGCAGGCAGCCTGCTGAGGTCGTGCGGCTGCTTGTGATCATCTTCATGTTTCCTGTGACGGGAAGCAGATTGTACACAGAAGCTTCTAATGCGTTTCCTGCTTATTTTCCCTACTTTGACACGTGTCAGGACTAACTCACGAACGACAGCAGCTGATGGAGATTCTTCCCTAAGGAATCCCCTGTTGAGGTTTCTCTTGCCTGGTTAGGTTGCTTTATTATCTGTTCCCTCATGCGCATTCCTCCTGCACCCTGCCTGTGGGCAAAGAGAGGGGCCACTTAAAGCTGTATCTGGAGGAAGCTTTGTTATCATCCACACTTTCAAGAGTAATAAACAAATCCAGCCCGGTCGGCGTGGCTCCGTGGCTGAGCATTGGCCCATGAACACGGAGGTCAGGGCTCGATTCCTGGTCAGGGCACATGCCCAGGTTTCTGGCTCGATCCCCAGTGTGGGGCGTGCAGGGAGGCAGCTGGTCGATGATTCTCTTCATCATTCTACCCTCTCTCTCCCTCACCCTTCCTCTCTCTGAAAAAAAACCAAAAACATATTTTAAAAAAATAAAGAAAATCTAAATGAACAAGCTGGTGAAGGCTTGGTTCAGTCATGTACGAGAGTCCACATTGCATATTTCATCATAAAAACAGAAGTTAGGGCGTGGAAGGATGCGATGTTTTGCTCTGGGTGCTGAAAATGGTACATCATCATTAATCAGTCAGCATCCCTGCGACAGTTCTTGTTAAAGCACTTACATCGCTATTAAAGGTTTTTTAAATTTTTTTATTTAAACAAGTAAACAGTGACCAAGATGAGCATTTGAATTATAGGACAAATCATACTGAAATTAGACGAACCGCCACGCCAGGGGGTACAGCGCTGTCAGAGCTTAACTTTGCGAAGCCCGCCGAGCCAAGACCAGTGTCATATGTAACGTTTAGACACTGCGACTTGAGCAAAGGGTTTCATTTGCGCCTTTTTGGAAGTGGGTTTTCCAGTGATGCTTTTCATGTTACATTCAGACACCCTTATTTCCGTCTGTTTCTTTTATCTTGTACGCGCTAATGTCCCCCGATTAAATCTGCGTGTAATTGTCTGGGTTTTTCCTGGGCAAAACCTCGCCACCTTCCCCAGGACCTGGAGAGCTCACCTCCCCGACCGCCTCGGATTGGGTCTAATTGAAATGCCAGCCCCACGGAGGGGCCGGAGCGGAGTGTGTAATTATGTAATTTCCTCTTGATCTTTCAGAGTCTTCCTGCGAGCGATTAATCAGTATGCAGATATGCTGAACAAAAAATTCCTGGATCAAGCCAACTTCGAGCTGCAGGTGAGAGAAGAAAGGCAGGGGAAGTGACCTTTACCACAAATTTCTCCTCTGAGCACCATCTTTTCTTTCTAATCCGCACACCAAGGTGTGGACATGGTGGTTACAATGTGTCCTGTTGGAACCCAGGCTTGAACGTTGTGCCTTCTGGGTATTTGCTCCATTTAGTAAAGAAGGGGGTGGAGCTGTGCAAAGAGCAAGTACTGGATCGGGGACCAGGAGGGACACGGCAGGGAGGCCACGGGGTCTCGGGAGTGTGGCTGCCAGGGTTTTCTCAGAGCCTCTAAGGTGGTGGTGGGAGGCCGGCAAGTGGCTTTGCACCCCTGAGCTCAGCGTGAAACCCAGGCACGGAGAGGAGAGAGATTGCCCTACGCGTGTGGCAGAGCGGGCGTCGGAGCACGTGCCGTGGACTGAGCCCACGCTCAGCCCGGAGCCCCACCCGGGGCGGCCGGCTGGCAGCTGGGGAGAGGGCCCATGGTTTGAAACGTTCCCTAGACCAGTGGCTCTCAACCTTGGCTGCACATTAGAATCACCTGGGAATCTTTTTAAAATCCTGATTTCCGGGCCTCCTCCTCCGGAAATTATGTGTCTTTGTTACTAATGTTTTGGCCTCACCCCATAACAAAGACACAGAATTTCCGGAGGGTGAGGCCCAGAAATCAGGATTTTAAAAAGATTCCCAGGTGCTTCTAATGTGCAGCCGAGGCTGAGAGCCACTGCCCTCGGGCGCTGGGCAGACGAGGTGCCCCGAGTGGCCGGCCGCTGCTGAGCCGCTAACCCTCTGCCCCGTCGCCTTCAGCTCTGGAACAACTACTTCCACCTGGCGGTCGCGTTCCTCACCCAGGAGTCCCTGCAGCTGGAGAACTTCTCAAGCGCCAAGAGAGCCAAGATCCTGAACAAGTGAGTCCGCCCGGGCAGGCCGATGTCCCTGGGCCGTGCCACCCCCAGGCCACTCACTGCGGTGCGGGGTTCAGAGGGGGTCTCGGCGGTGGCAGCGGCTCAGCCGTCCTCGGATTCTGTGAGTGTGTGACTTCCCGCCCAGCCCTGTGCCGCCAGAGGCTTGAGCCCAGGAAACTGCAGCACAGCCGGCCGGGGGTGGTCGTGGAGCTGGGCTGGAAGGTAATGTCCTCGGGGGACCAGCCTGTCCCTCTAGGGAGGGGCTGAGGCGCCACCTTCAGATTCTCCATCCGGACTGGCCTGCATCAGCCGCCCTCCTGCTGCACAGGACGGGCAGGGGTGTCTGCACGGAGGCCTCACCCTCAGGTGGCCGCGGGCTGGGGTTTTGACTCCCCTGTGACTTCCCAGCCACACGCAGTGGCCTGCACTCAGGGGGCCCTGCCAGTCAGCTGACAGGAGGAGGACAAGCGGCTGGGAACCCACAAGCTCTAGCTAATCCCACCAGTTATTACGTTTAACATCAGCCTTTTCCTCGGGCAATAAAGGGAAAGGTAAATTGCTCACCAGCTCATAAAGGCTCATCTTCTGCAGCCTCGGCATTCTGTTTACTCTGGAAACATACACCCCTCCCCGCCCACGGGGAGGAAAATTAGCATTTGTTTTCCTGGTAAACAAAAAACTTGGGGGAATATCTGCTGAGAGTAGGCGGCGCCAAGCCCTCCCTTGCACTGAACTTGATGAAGAAGGAGGGGGGGGGCATTGGAGGAGGCGGCCCTGTTCTGAGTGTAGGCTCCAGGGCTCACTGTTCTGGGGGTGTGGGGGGTCACTAGGGTCTGCAGGGGCCTGATGCTAACAACAGGCATGGAAAACATCCCCCCACCCCCACCCTTGGGCCAAGGAGCTGGGCTCTCTCACCTGCCCTTAGAGAGTGAAGACAGTGACACAGTGACATTCTCTCATTACTCTCACCACCTCCCCCAAGTCCCACAGTGGGTGGGGTGGGGGGGGCAGTGTGTGGTGATGAGTAAGTGCGGTTCCCAGCTCCTTCCATCCCCTTTGGTGGCAAAGGAAGGGGCGCCGTTTTCTCTTTATGCGTCTCAGGGATGGAAGACTGGCTCGCACTTACAAATAACCTGGTCTGATTTTCACGTGCCCTGAGAGTGACCGGGCGCTTTTCCCCTTCCTGCCTTTCAGGTATGGAGACATGAGGAGACAGATCGGCTTCGAGATCAGGGACATGTGGTACAACCTCGGTGAGTCGCCGCGGTCTCGGCCATCGGGGACCGTCTCCCGTCCGAGGTGGGAGGCGGCATTGGCCCTGTTCGTCAGCGTTGGGGCATCTACAAATGTCCGAGGCTTCTGCTCCTTGGGGAAAAATTGCTGTTGGTTGCCAGAACTCTTTTCAGGAAGTAAGAGCTGGGAGACCAAGTGAAAGGAGGAGAATCTGGTGGGTGGGGCACATAGAAGCATCTGGAAAGCCACTCCCGCGTCAGGTGTCCACAGCTCAGCCCTGGGCGTCAGGAACATTCCCCCACCGCCTCACTCATCCAACCACGTAGCTCATCCTACTGTTACACGTGCCATCAGATGGGCTCCGTGTCATCGACTCTGCCTTCCCCAGGGTCTAGTCCCCACTCCAAACCCGACCCGGTTTTAGGTCCGCTGCCACCAGGTGGTGGCGACTCAGATGCTCGCGCCATCAGAGCAATAGGGACATGCGTGTTGAAGGTAAGGAATCCATGTAGGCGTGTATTACTATTCACTTCCCTCTTGGTACTGCTTTGGCCGCTCACGTAAGTTGGGGTATGTTGTGTTCTCATTGTCTTTTGTCTCCGATGTTTTCTCATTTCCCTTTTGATTTCTTCTTTGGCCTACTGGTTGTTGAGAGTATGTTTTTGTTGTTTGCTTTTTGTTTGTTTGTTTTAAATATATTTTTTTTATTTTTTACAGAGAGGAAGGGAGAGGGATAGAGAGTTAGAAACATCGATGAGAGAGAAACATCGATCAGCTGCCTCCTGCACACCCCCTACTGGGGATGTGCCCGAAACCAAGGTCCATGCCCTTGACCGGAATCGAACCTGGGACCCTTCAGTCCGCAGGCCAGTGCTCTATCCACTGAGCCAAACCGGTTAGGGCGAGAGTATGTTTTATTGGTGTTTTTTTGTTTGTTTTTTCTTGTTGATAGGATTGCAGATGCCCCCCGGTTACCCCCCTTTGCCTTTGTCTTCCCAGCCCCTACCAGCCCCCACTTTGCCCACCTCGAGGGCCTTCCTTCTGGACGGTTAAGTCCTGGCAGAGCCCTGACCACGAAGCTGGGCGCTGGCCCCGGCCAGTCCCCCGTATTCAGGGCCAGGGTGTCTCCAAGGTGAGGCGCCGTGCCCTGTAGCGTATTTTTCCACCCTGGCGCCCACAGCCACTTGTCAGCGCCTGTCCCTCCAGCCGGGAGCGTCAAAGCCGCCGTGACCAGCAGAGCGCTCCGTGACACTCGAGTTGTGGTTGATGAACAACTCGCTGTCACTGTCAACTATTTTCTGAAACATTGGCTCTGACATTTTTGGGCAAAACACAAGAAAAGTGTCACCGGAGAGACTGGGGATAATGGCGTTTTTAAGAGAATGGCTCGCAGCTGTTACACGCCTTTCAGAAACACGGAGCGTCTGGGAAGTGATGAGAATCCCCTGAGTCTGGCCTTAGTCACAATATTAATTATTCAGTAAAAGCAGAACCTCAGGTTTTTATTATATTCGGATTCCTCATCAAAGGTTATAGTTTGTGACTGTGTCCACCCCATTCAAATGTTAGAAATATATTAAGTTAGACTAAGAGGAGGCTTATGTAGCATGTGAAGTATAGTTATTTATAAGAGCCAGATTTGTTAAATGGTTCTCTGTCTAGAAATCTGTATCAAATAGCGGAGTTATAAACGAAACCAAGTTCTTTAGACTATCGATTCTATTTTCTGAGTGTGTAAAATTACTATTAAGGTTGATTAACTGGATAAATTGCTGGTGTTAATAACACAAAATGCCTCAAATAATTCAAGCGTTTAATTCTTGCGCATTCTTCTAGCATATGTTGGAAATGAAATGATATAAATTATTATGGGGTGAAATGAAGATATTTCAAGATTTTTGACACTAAAGAGGGTAGAACTTTAAATATATATATAGTTTTATTATTTTTTTTTTACTGATACCAGAGAGGAAGGGAAAAGGAGAGAGAGACAGAAACATCAATGATGAGAGAGGGTCATTGATGGGCTGCCTTCTGCATACCCTCTACTGGGGATGGAGCCCGCAACCCCGGAAATGTGCCCTGACCGGGAATTGAATCGTGACCTCCTGATTCATAGGTCGGTGCTCAACCACTGAGCCACCCCGGCTGGGTGGAAACCTCCTCTTTATAAGATGCCAGAGCTATAGAGGACCGGACCATCTGCTCAGACGCCCTCGCCTTATCCCGTACTCATTGTCCACAAATTGAGATGCGGGTGTTGGGTCCCCAGCCCCGCTCCGTGCAAGGCTGGGGACCCATGAGCTGCTCGCCTCCTTTCGCTGTGGGCTCACATCGTGTACGTGTGAAACGGTGTTGGTCTCCTCTAACAGAAGTCAGGGCTACAGACTTCGTATTGGATGTTTTAGTGGCTTCAGTTACAACAATCAGGACACCGTCCACTTCTCCCATGCAAGGCTGGGCGTCCATGATGCCCCCGGATGACATGGATGCTTCATTCCCACACCCCCGGCACCCACATCGCGTGGCCTGTGTCCTTGTGTCCACTGAAGCCCATTCCAGAATCCTTTTTTAAAGACTTTTCTAACGAATGCGTGTCTTTACTCAAGGTCAGCACAAGATAAAGTTCATTCCGGAAATGGTCGGCCCCATGTTGGAGATGACGCTGATCCCCGAGACGGAGCTGCGCAAGGCCACCATCCCACATCTTCTTCGACATGATGCAGTGTGA